GCTCTGACTCTTGATTGTGGCATTTTGGTATCTGACTCTAGTTTTGACTCTGGCTTTGGCAATTGGCAGTTGACTCTGGAGTTAATCCTCAACTTTATTCCTTGAGTCGGGTGCCGGCTGCACCCATGAGACCTGATGTCTTCTGTGACCACTGGGTTAGACCACCTGTATTCTGATTGCTAACAGCAGGTTTGCTAGTCTGTATTAGGATTCCACCTGGAGGCAGCTACTTCAGTGGCTGAAATCACCAGCATAGACATGGCTCTTAATCTGATCCTTGATCCCAACACATTAACTAGCCAGAGAGAATTTTTTTTAATGTAAGACATTACAGGTGGGGTGAATTTAGATGTCTGATGACAACTTTTTTGGGTTGGGTGTTCAAAGCGAAGCTTTTGATTTTTTTTTTTTTACTGCCTCCCCCCATAGGAAAAAGCACCGTTCTCTCTAGGGCAGTGAAAACAGGTTCAAACATGAGTGAATGAACATTTCTCTAGTGCAGTCTCTGTGAGTCATCTATAAAGCTGAAATCACAGCCATTGTCCTCTAATTAAAGAGCGCTACATCAAGAATGCGTAATAATTAGGTTATTGTGTGATACGCCAGCCGTGTCGACAACATCTGCCACCTAGGTTGACTGAAACATATTCAGGCTCTAAACGCAGTGCTCCCTGGTAGACCTCCCAAACAACTTCATTACTGACCTCACCATGCAATAACATGACTCCACAGAAATCTGCAGAAAATTAGGGCAGAGTCTACATATAAATCTGTACTGTCTTAGCAGGACTTGTAACTTCAGTGGGAGAAAACCACCCACATACTCTCAAGGCACACAAAAATGAGAGATCCCTGACCTAATAAAGATGCATTACAAATGAAAGCCGGTTGTGGAAACTCTCCTTTTTCCAGCTTTCTGTTGCTGTTTAACTTGATCAGACAAAATCCATTTGAGTGAAGAGGGTGTTTACCAAATTAATGACAACATATTTTTGTTTGTGTCTTAGAAATATTTTTTAATGACTAAGAAAATAGTTTTCAGATGAATAGCATGAAAGATTCTTCTACCTCATGTTTGTTCCTCTTACTTCACACTGGGCTTGGAGAAGCAAGTTAACTATTTGGGCCTGAACGTGTGTGGGATGTGTGACACGGAAAATGACAGAATTGTATTTAATAGTGTAGAGCAAGGCTGAGGTTTAGGTCATAACCAGCTTCTAAAAGAACAACATGGAACAACAAATGACACAAGAGGCCATGTCAGGTGCTTGTTTGTCAAGTTTGAAGTAATAAACTAAGTAGTTATCATGAATTACATATTCCTAACAAAAGGAGAGCAGATCCCATAGAGCAGTGTTTCTCAACCAGTGGTACGAATACCCTTACAGATACTCGAGAGAAGACTGGGGGGTACGTCAGCACAACTGAAATTTGGAGAAAAGTGAATTTTTATTTTAAGTTTTATATTGCTTTATTATTTTTGTACTTTTTGCACCCAAAAATGTCATCACTTGCCTGGCTACAATTAAGTTGTTTGAACAAATGTGTTGCAATGGTAGAAAAAAAAATTGTGTGTCTGAAAACTGTAGGTACTAGGGGTACTTACAATTTTTTTAAAAGGGGGTATTTATATATTTTTTAAAGGGGTACTTTATTAAAAAAAGGTTGAGAAACACTGCCATAGAGTGAGGCTGCTTGTTTAATGAAAGGAGCTTCCTTCCAAGGCCAATTTAAAATTAATTATATGAAAAATCAGTGATTATTTTATTTCATTTAACTTTGTTCTGATAAGAATTACTATTTTCCCAAGTGGTAAACGATGTGATGAGGAGGAATTTTATTCTTATTTATACAACACTTCACAGAAATAAAATAGACATGGTCCCTGTCCCTGGGATTTTATGATCTAAGGGTTGATATGATGCAATGAACAAAAGCCACAAAGTTGCAGAACTATGAGGGAAAAGGTTATAATAGTGACTACAGGAGGTATAGCATAGTTCTGCTGTATATGAACTCAGTAGAGGTTTTGCCACTGGTTTCATTGGTGATAGGATCAGGGCCCAAGGGGCGTACATTTATGTGGATTTCTTTCTGTAAGGGTATGTCTGCACTAGCCACCTAGTTCGGACTACGGTGGCTAATGTAGTCATTCGAACTTGCAAATGAAGCCCGGGATTTAAACATCCTGGGCTTTATTTGCATGGTCCCAGACGCCGCCATTTTTAAATGCGCGGTGGTTCGAACTACCTGCCTATAGCTACACGCAGCATGGGCTAGGTAGTTCGAACTAAAGTTCCTAATTCGAACTACCGTTACTCCTCCTGCAATGACAGTGGAGGAGCCACACAGTTCAATTTAAATTCTGGCAGCCGCCATGCAGCTTGCCGTTCCCACCACGTCAGGCCTCACCAGGGCAGGTCAGAGCAAGAGGGAGGCCGCATGGCTCCTAGATCTCATGGAGCACGGAGAAAGGGGAGACTATGTGGCTGGAGTTCGAGGGAGGGGCTGTGGGACATAGAGTGACTCAGGACATCACTCTGTCATCCCTCAGGAAAAACCTTTTTGAAGTATAGTAAGATTATTTTTAAAAGCTGGAGGCATCACGACCCGGGGCTGGGAAACTTGCCTCTTTCAATTGTACAGCCCTTTGTGATCTGCAGATGAAAATGTTGTACAAGAGTGTTAGTGGTATTATGCATATTTGCAGTTATCAGAAGAAATAAAAACATCCTAGCATTGGTCAAACTGCAGTATGTAGCAGTGTCTGACACACATCACTATTCCTAACATGCAGCATAAGTAGTCTGGTTTACACCTGTGTTTTTATATACAAGAGTCATGTGGCACCTTAAAGGCAAATAAATTTCTTTGGGCATACGCTTCCATGAGCAAAGACCTGCTTAGTCAGATGCAACTGAAGTGGGTCTTTGCCTATGAAAGCTTATGCCCAAATAAATGTGTTTAAACTTTCAGATGCCACAGACTCCTTGTTGTTTTTGCAGATACAGACTAACATACTGATACATGTGTTTTTTACATTTAGACCAGTACAGCCCATAGTAAGGATGAAGTTATCCCATTAAAAGAGGCTTCCTGTATGTAAATAACTCCACCTGGAAGCATGCTCACAGTGATATAACTATGTGTACACTGCCCCCCCTTGCGCAAAAAAATATGCAAATGAGGTGAAGCGTGGAATATCACCGTGCCTCATTTGCATAATTAACAAGGCTCCGTTTTTACGCAAGAGGCTTTTGTGCAGAAAGGAGCCATCTACATAGCTCCTTTTTGTACAAAAAAACCCCTCTTGCGCAAGAGCCGTTCTTCCTCTCTTTTTCAGGAAGAACGGCTCTTGTGCAAGTGGGGAGGTTTGCGCAAAAAGGAGCCGTGTAGACGGCAAAAAGCGGTTGCTCATTAATTATGCAAATGAGACACAGCGATATTCACCTCATTTGCATATTTCTTGCACAAAACAGCGCAATATAGACATAGCCTGGCAGTTTAACAAGACTGAGATAATTAAAGTAGTGTAACTGTTGTGTGTAGACAAGGCCTAAAAGAAACACTTAGTCTGTCCATCAGATCCCCACTGCAGATAGTGGGTGTTTCAAGAACAGAGCTAAGAGTAGATCTTCACTTCACAGTTAACCTTAGCTTTTACCATTTTTAGCCTCCCCCCCCCATCTTTCTCCCTGCCTACATGCACAAACCTTTTACCCTGGTTTGGAGGTGCCTTGACCTGGCTAGAGATGTGAGTTAAACACTACACATTACACTTTAACTCAGGCTAGAACCCACCCACTCTGTAGTGAGGATGCAGGCTAAATCAGTCAAGTGCAGAAAGTCTGCCAATGCCAGGCCTGGGCAAGATGTGGCCACTTTCTATTTATCCTGCTGCCCGTGTCACTTAATTGCCAGGCAGTGGCTCAGGCAGCAGCATCCTATTTAAATGGTTCACAGTTCACAATTGTGGTGCTACCCTGGCAGAGGCTGGAACCACGAGCCTTTTAAATAGCTGCAGCAATCCCAGGCGACTCCCGGGCAACACAACAGCAGCAGGGCTGGGAGCTGCAAGCCCTTTAAATAGCAGCAATTAAAGGCTTGGGGCTCCAGCCCCTGCCAGGGTACCACCATGACCGGGAGCCCTATAATTAGCCACAGCAACCCCGGGCACCTGTCAGGCAATGCAGTAGTGGCTGGGAGCCGGGAGCCCTTTGCTGGGTTTTTAATTCAGCCTCCTGCCCCAGACAGCTCTGGGGAGGCTAGTCCCCAGCCCTGCCCCTTCCATCCCAGGCCCTACCCTTTCTGTGGAGCCATCCTGTGACCATGTACCAAAATTCATTGTGGCCTTTCTGCAAAAATTATTGCCCACCTCTGGACAATGCCCTTCCCACAATTCCCCCAAAGGACAAACAAGTTCTCCCACACAATTTACTGGAAAGGAATCTTTTGGCCATCTCAGCAAAGAAGGGGTTGCTCCCAACCAGGCTAGCCTAACTTGGATGCCAATCACCCAGCTTAATTGTGCAGTGAAGATGTTTTGTTGACTAAATGATGTAAATGTGCCATGCAGAGAAAGGAGTCTGACCTTAGAATAGGGGGTCTGGAAGTGAGAATTCCTTGGTTCTATCACTGACCGATTTCACTTAGATAAGTCACATTTATAAGTAAAATGAGAAACAGTAATGACCCCCTGCCCCCATGGCAGCCTTGAAGCTTATCTTTTTTAAAGCTTCCTCATGTCCTCATCTGAAATGTGCTATGTGCAGGGTGTTAGTGTTGAAAGAGCGCTCCATGCATCACGATAGAACAGAGTTCAACCGTACACCAGAGTAAAATTGAAGGGGACAAACCTATGATAAATATGTTTGGGAAGTAAATGGCATTAATGGCTGCATGAGTAGGGCATGTCCCAAATTCACTCTCCATAGTCAGAAATCAGGGGAAGAGGATGATTAAAATCACTGTAGACCACACACATTTTTTCTTTCTAACAGGACACCACCACGTCTGTTCGGATAGGTCTTATGATGGAAGAAATGATCTTCAACCTTGCAGATACACATCTGTTCTTTAATGATCTGGAGGTATGTAGCTGCATATTTTATTTTAACTTCTTCCTATTTATAGTCACCTGTATCTAGTTTGGAAGCTCTTGGTTTCCAGGCCCAGAAACTTTCATTACTGACCCAGTGGGCCTAAGATGGCTTATTGAAAACATACCTTACCACATCTCTCTGACATCTTTGCTCTCTTAAAGTCTTAAAAAACCTCAAAAACAATAGAGTAACACTGATGTGTGTTGGTAGTTTTGCTAAATGTAATAATGAGGACAATGTTGCTTTGTTCCTCCTGAAATTTACTATTTCATAATTTCATTAAACTAAATGAGCACAGATCTCATGGGACAAGTTTGCAGTTACTTCTGAGCCAGTACAGAAGCTGTTCCTCTACAAGCTCTGTTCTGCACACAAAAAAAGGTGGAATGAAGAGTTCCTGATGGCCAAACTCGTGGCACAAATGAGATCATGTGTGCACCTTTGCACTAACCCCAGGAAGTCTGCCCCAGCTGAGGGAATGCCACCTCTGATGAAGAAGGATCAGGTAAAAAAAATACGATCACTGGTGTAAAACATGCCAAAGGCCTTCCAGAACATGCATCGTAGCCCAAGAAAAGATAGCATATGTCCAGCTGAGTGACTAGCTATGGAGTGGTGATGAAAAGCTTTTTGAGCTTGTAACCTGCCCATCATAAGGAATGGGTCTAAATGAGTTATTGAATCATTTTGTTCAGGGTTGTCATAAATCATAGAGCTGGAAGAGACCTCAGGAGATCATCAAGTCCAGCCCCCTGTCCAAGGCAGGACCAGTCTCAGCTAAATCAACTCAGCCAGGCTTTGTCAAGCCAAACCTCTAGGGATGGAGATTCCACCACCTCCCTAGGTAACCCATTCCAGTGCTTTACTACCCTCCTAGTGAAATAGTTTTCCTAATATCCAACCTAGACCTCTCCCACTGCAACTTGAGGCCATTGTTCCTTGGTCTGCCATCCGTCACTACTGTGAGCAGCCTCTCTCCATCCTCTTTGGAACCTCCCTTCAAGAAGTTGAAGGCTGCTATCAAATCCCCTCTCACTCTTCTCTCCTGCAGACCCAAATCCCTCAGTCTCTCCTCATAGGTCATGCTTTCTAAGGCTGGATGGCATTTCCTTGAATTGAATGGAATGAACTAGAATTCTCTTCAGGTGCCTTGGGCACCATAGACTCCGGAAAGTGCTTGGAATAATCTAGGCTAGGGGGAAAGACCCCATTTCTGTGCCTGCAGCCCGTAACCACAGATCCCTTCTCAGTCTGTTTACTAATTTGAAAAAGTAAGAATTTAACTGTTCCAGGACCTGCCTGAAATAGGCCCCAGGAGGGCTTCTAATTCCTTTGTCCTTCATTTCTCCGCTGTATTGAATTGCTAAGTTGGTTATAAGGAGTTAACATTTTCCTAGTACTGCCCTCTATATAAATTGGAACTTTACTTGCTTAAAAATTTCATTTCCCTTTAAAGATAAATAGTTTGTAGCACCTGAGCTGACATTTCCTTCCTCTCCCTCCTTTCCAAAGAAGTGTTTAGTGATGGGGAACAAAGTGTGAAGTGAAAATCTTTCATAGAGAAAAAGAGGGAAAACCTATTTAAGGCTCTAAATAAAAAGTGATAATATTTAGCACGTACCCAACACTCCTCATCCGTGTGTGTCAGAAAGGTGGGTAAATGGTGTTAACTCCATTTCACATGTGTGGAACCCAAGGCAAGAGGAGAAATTAGTCCAGGCTTATACTGCAGCAGCACCATGGGCATTCTTGTACCACAGCTGTGTAAGATTAAAATGTGCACATCGATACATTTGAAAACATTCCCCCCTTGTTTTACTTCTCTTTCAAGACTTGAATTCAGTTGATGGTTTGCCAAGCCCCTCAGAGCGGGATGAGGAATGTTACTGTCCCACAGTTACAAGTATCAGTGAGGATTTCAGCTGCTTCAAGCAGAACTAAATCCTGAGTTCAGGTCTTGGCAGGTGAAAAATTCTTAAATTCACCTAAAAGTACTAAAGGAAGGTAAAAGTCTCAGGGGGTAGCCATGTTAGTTTGTAACTGAAAAAAACGTAAAAAACACCAAATGGACCTGCAGCACCTTAGAGGTAGATAGGTAGATAGTATCATGAGCTTTTGTGGATACAACTCACTTCATCAGATGAATGGAGCAAGGGGTCTAGAGGTACAAATATTTTATTTAAAGTGACAGATATTTTATTTAAAGCATTTGAGATTTCTGGTCTTAATTTCTGGCTATCGCAAAAAGATCTAGAATTTGTCTGTAGTCCTTGCAAGACCTGATGGACTGTGTGACCTAGTGGGTAAGTCACTGTTCCTCTCTGCATCTGTTTTCCCATCTGTGAATGGAGATAATGATGATGCACCTTTCTACCTCAGAGAAAGATCGTGAGTAATACTTAGTATCACCATAGCTCCTGTGTGGATAGAGAGGACTACATAAGTGCTACAGTTCTGTCTACACTATGAAGATGGTATCACTATGTTCAGTAAGCGCAGATGCAGCCTATACCAACAGAAAGGTGTAAGAATGCCACCGCCTCAAAAGAAGTTAACTGTATTGATGGAATGTCACTTCCACAGCATAGTTGTGTCTGCATGGGGATTACGTTGCCATAGCTACCTCGGTGGGTGGGTTGTTGTTTTTTTTACGCTCCTGACTGGTGTAGCTATGACAATATAACTTTTCAGTGTAGACGAGGCTAAGTAAACCATTCCCTTGAGTACAGTTCTGTAACCGCTAAATTTACCCTCATTAATCACCGTTGCCTCCAGGTTAAATTCACAAAGACTGAAATATTCTGTTGTTCTTTTTGTAACTATATGCATTGATGCATAAACCTCAGAAAGATCCAATTTGGGAAGAAGGTCATGAAGACTCCAGCTGCTTCCTTCTCCAAACAGTTCAAGGCTACTGGAGATGCAAAGTTTGCTGTTAAAAATTTTCAGCTTGGTTCTTGGGCTTGTGGGGTAATTTTATTTGACCTAAGCCAGTTTGGCACATCCATAGCAAAGTTGTGAGCACATGGGATACAGGTGTAATGGTTTTACAGATCCTATAGCACTTTTCAGTCCGAGTGCCTTATTTCAGAAATGTAATGCACAAGAACAACAAAATAAAACTGAATAAAATGAGTCCAGCATCAACCTTTTTGCAGAATTTTCTCGGGTTTTTTAAATGAAAACAATCTCAGATTTTTCTGGGGGAGAAGAGGGAACATTAGACTTTTCATCAAAAACTGAAATTTTCAGAAGAATTGAAAACCTTTCCCAAAAATGTTTGTCTTGTCCTGGCCTCCAAAAAAACAACACAAAAATTTCAACCATCTTTACTCACCATGCTGCAGTGCTCCTGCATCTTAGATGAGAAATTAATGAGAGTATTTGCAGAGTGATAGCTGAGGATTGTATGGGCACCAACTGTTAGGCTTGGAAAAGAACAATATAGTATATATTTTAAAAAAAAGCAGGCAGAAAAAAAAGCATAAAGGCTGATTCAGTGGAAGAGCTGTTGAGATTACAGTATACAGCAGCACCATCAAGTGGCATAATGGTGAGATGAGCAGGGCTCAATAAGCTAAATCCACCCAGTACTACAATGCTGAAACTGCCCGTTGAACTGCCCTGCTTTCAGGCATCTACAGAAGAAAGGCAAAGTTAGAGCTTGTAGTAAGGAACAAGAATACTGCAGGGAGCAGGTGAATGTGATGTTTAAGACTGTTAATTCAGGCCAATCATTTTAAGCACAGGTTTTTTCTGAACAACTGGAAAAGGTGAGGAATTGAAACAAACTACTTATTCAGGCCCACCCTAAGGCACGTGAGGAAACTGAGGGAGCTCATTATTGGTAAATGCAATGTCCAGACGGAGCATCCATTTCTTTCCAGGCAGGCAATGACACCACAAAGCTTCTGACTGCCCTATTTTCCCTGCAGTCAGCGGCAGAGCTTGCATATATATTGTTTTGGAACCACAGATACGATCACGGAGAGACAGTTCAGACTAGTGTGCCCTATACACTCACCCATCCTCTTCCTTGGCAAGGTGAATTCAGTAGAAAAGTGGTTCCCAGCTTTTGGTGAATGTACCTGTAATAGTCCGTCCAGGCTTTTTTGGTGCCGGGTACGTTCTGTCTCCCAATACAGTCTGTCTCACATTAGCATAATGATCCCTTCCATCTGCAATCTTCCTTCCTAGCTTTATATTGAACTAGCAGTTCAGGTTAAGTGCTGAACCTCCATGTGCTGCTGCTGTGTTCACCTTCCAAACTAGTGTACACAGTATAAGGGGCTGTCGTAGCCAAGTCTATTCTCACACATTCAGGCTTAGAGGTGGGAATGCTCCACGCACTGAAAGTTCCACCTTCTGCAGCTGAACAGGAGATAGGAGGCAGCAGCAAACTCAACCTCTGCCCATTGGTTGGATGCTCATTTGCGATTAAGGAGTTACCCCATTTGGCTTCAGGGAGTTGTTGATTGATCTATACAAGGTCTTTGTAATAATTTATTGGTGGTTTCCCAGGAGGAATGGGAGTTAGTGAGATAGACACTGGTTAGCAACCATTTTATGAGCTTCCCTCAAATTAAGGTTTTTGTTGTATCAACTGCAGTTCAGTACCCACACACTGGGTACGTCTAAACTACATGGCTCTGTCGACGGAGCCATGTAGATTTGTTGTTTTGGCAAAGGGAAATGAAGCGGCGATTTAAATAATCGCCGCTTCATTTAAATTTACATGGCTGCCGCGCTGAGCCGACAAACAGCTGATCAGCTGTTTGTCCGCTCAGC